TGTGATAACAAATCAGCTTTAGAGAAAATGAAAATTTGCTGCTATATCCTTTTAACATTCTGAAAAGTTCATTTGTAGTTCGAGGTGTGAGTCCAAATTTTTGTTTCCACGCCTATATATAAATTGTGATAACGTGTACTTTTGTCGCCATTCATCGTCTTTGGAGAAGCGTATCGCCGTCTTCAAGCCATATGACGAAGAACCATTGGGAGAGAACAATCCGAAGAGCGATAAGCGATCAAACAATGGAGAAGGGCTAAAGATAGGAACCGTAGTTGGTGGAGGCGCAATAAGGGAGGTGGCTGCTTTCATATTGGACAAAGGCTTCTCGAGGGTTTCGACCACAGTTCTGGTTCGATGCTTTCACAAAGATTTCAACCATCCACGAGGCGAAATCAAACTGAAGATGAGATCTCTTCAACGCTACATAGAGAATAAAGGCAGCCTAGAGGATTCTGGTCCAGAGGGCTTACCGGTTGAACAAGTTTTAAAGATTACAATCCTTGACATTCGTGTTGGAAACACGGATAGACACGAAGGTAATATACTCAAGAGAACGGACCAAAACCACAAAACCGTGTTGGTTCCTATTGACCATGGGTATTGTTTCCCTGAAAAGGTTTGGTTTCCTGTTTTTTTCTGATCTAAATTGTTTAGTTAACTTTCTGGTTTTCTGGTTTTGATCAAATGTTTCTGAAACAGTTCGAAGAAGGGTCAGCTTCCATTAAAACCAATAAATGACGTGAGCGATGAAGCAATTTTTGTGCCGTTGGTGTCATTACACTTCACAAGTTGGACATGAATGTGAAATGATGGAAACAAGGGTTGAGTAGTGGAGGACATAGGCATTATTGCATGTGAACTAGAACCATGGATATAGTAGATAATGATTGACACCAAAAGAATGGTCCACTAGAGTTTGCAATATCGAATTCGTGCAACTAATAAGTTAACTATTTAAGACATAATATACTTTGTGTACCAGTTAAAAACTTTATTGAATTGTTTATGTATCATCCGTGTACACATACATATACCATGAACTTACACACAAAATTTAAAAAGGTGAAGTGAATATGTTGTTCTTCCCCCACCTATTGGACTAATTTGGCAATGGTCCACTAGAGTTTGCAATATCGAATTCCGATTTCACATACCTGCAAGTTATGTGGTTGCAACCCCACGAAAGCTCAACCATGTTCTTACACATTTGGCATTGTCGCCACTGCTGGCTATGAGCTAGAGACTTCAGCGATTCATCCCCTGCATTCTGATATTCCATCGATCTGGCGTAGTCACTGCAGCTCATGTAATAGTGCCAGGGAACCATGCACCGCGTGCTGAAAAACTGCCCGCATTTCATGCATATTCTCACTGCAGATAGCTCGGCTCCAACAAAAAATTCCTTGGTATATTCTAAGACATCATCTTTAGCCATCAGTTTTGAGCACTTGGGGGAAATGGACAGTAACTTCTGTTGTTTTTTCTGCTTTCTTCCCGTTCTTATCCGATTTTTCTAAAAATATAGTAATTTTAAAAAGATTTTGAAAAAAATAGTATTTAAAGCACATTCACTTTTGTTATCATTTTTTTTTTTGAATATTTATGTTACATGAAAAAAATTCATCTTCAACATATTTCTCTTCACTTTTTTTTAGTATTATAACATATTCATTTAAAAAGTATNTACGATTCATATATATTTTTTTAAAAATCAATCACATCTAAAAAATAATTAAAAATAAATAATTCTAAAAAAAAATTTCTTAAAGCACATTCACTTTTGTTATCATTTTTTTTTTTGAATATTTATGTTACATGAAAAAAATTCATCTTCAACATATTTCTCTTCACTTTTTTTTAGTATTATAACATATTCATTTAAAAAGTATNTACGATTCATATATATTTTTTTAAAAATCAATCACATCTAAAAAATAATTAAAAATAAATAATTCTAAAAAAAAAATCCAGACGCATGTTCGGAAAAAACTCCGTTGCTTAACACACAGAACCAAACAAAACCGGACCGGACTAAAAGTGGCTAAAATCAAACCGATATAGCTACCTCAAAATCAAAATCGAGTTCTTCATTTTATTTTATAAAATTAGGGTTTGAATTGGATCAATCTGACGACGGATCAATCATTAAAACTAATTAAGCTTTGTGACAAAAAAAAACAATTTAAGCTTTTTTTCTTTGCTTATTCTTCACGGATTCAATCGATCTATCTTCTTCA